ACTGACATGTTGCCTAGCAGATCTCAGGATCCCATGGGGAATGTGCAGGACTGGTATCAGGGAATAAGATGTGCCACTTGGCACAGAAGAAACTGTGATAGAGGTCAACAGCAGCCTCGTGGTGGAGGTCAACAGCAGCCTCGTGGTAAGGCAGCATAAATACAGTAGAGAACAATTCTGTTTATCAAATTCACGTACATTTATTGAGGGCCTATGGTGCACAAAACCCTCCATCAAAGTCTTGCCCTGCTGCATCATCATGGCCTAGAAGGGACCCTGAATTCTCATGAGCCTTTGCAGGTCCTAGCAGTGCAGCTGAGAGATCTCTGAGAAGGCCCCGGGATGGGCCCTCGGTCTGACAGAGGCTTATCACCAAAAGCCACAATAACTCATGGAAACCATCTGCTAAGGTGTTAGAGCAGTTGTAGTCAGCATTGATTGAGTGCTTAGCACTGCATAAGACCTAATCCTTCAGCTCAGGGAACAGTGCAGGGAAAAAACAGTGCACCTGTTGTTATTCTTAGTTCAGCACTTACTGGATGTATAACCCTAGTAAAGTCAGCTCACCTCTTTGAGACTCAGCTTTCTCAACTGTAAAATGGAGATAATATTTGCGCTAACTCAGAGTTTTTGTGAAAGAAAAAAAAGTACTTTGTAAACTATAAAGTACTACAGCAGAAGGACAAATGAGACATGGACACAAATAACTCTTCTTCAGTGATATATTGGTTTGGGGGACACTTTGGGGAGATAAAGGATAAATTTGGTCTTGGGGGAGGTTATAAGCATTTACATAGCACCCACCATATGTCAGGCCTAGTGCTAAGCATTTTACAAATATTATCATCTTCCCTGGGAGGTGGATGTTGTTATAATACTCGTTTTACAATAAAGGAGACTGAGGCAGATGGAGGTTAAATGACTTGTCCAGAGTCACCTAGCTAGTAAGTTCCTAAGGCCAGATATGAACTCAGGTCTTCCTAAATCCACACCTGGCATTCTATCTACTGAGACACCTAGTTACCTCTGCGTTGATCCCTTAACTGTGTGACCTGAACCAAGTCACTTACTATCCTGCTATTTTCATTTCTCAACAGCAAAATGGGCCTAATGTTCACCTCCCAGAGATGCTGTGAAAATTAATTAGATCAATAAATAAAATCTTATTAAGTGTGTTGAGCAATTTTGTGCTATAAAAAAAGCTATGCGTGTTGTTGTAGGAGATTGGATTGTTAATTGAGAGTGTGTCCCTGCCCCACCCATGAAAATGTCTGTGCTAAAGACAGTCTCCAAAGCAGTAGACATTCCTGGGCCTCCCAGACTCTGGTCTCTCATAAAAGCCTTCAGAGCTCCTGGAATGAGACTAGTTCCTCTCACTGTCTGGGAAGAACCATCCCTCAGTCGTTTCGGAGTTTTAGGCAAAAATCCCCTGGTTCCATCCCCCAGAAGCATTCTACTGACTGCACCCAAGAAGGTCATCCTTCCCACAGGAAATGAAAGCTGGTGTATTCCACCTCAAGTAATGCCCATTGGCATCAGTTCAGGGAGAGCCCAGCACCTTTGCTCAACTTCCACCTGCCCTCACATGTCCCTGCTGTGGAAAGTTTGATGTAAGACCTTGGGTGAAGAAGCCTGAGTCGGCTTCACCTCGATTTGTTTAAACAAGGAGGTGGTTGTAGGATGGTTGTAATAGATGCTCAGTAGATAAACGTGATACCTTCCCATAAGAATGGGCAAAGTTCCAGTGGCTTAGAACACGCCAATCTACGTGGAGCCCTGTGGTTCCCAGGGTCTTAAAAGGAAATATACCATTGATAGTGCAAGGTGAACTTTGAACATAAATTCCCCAGTTAGTCCACAAGCATTAATTAAGCACTTACTATGGGCCAAGCATCGAGCTGAGCACCAGGGATTCAAAGATGGGCAAGTAGGGTCCCTGCTCTCAAGAAGCTCCTTTTCTAATAGGGGACAAAATATGTAAATAACTAGATACTTAAGATACATAGAAAGTAGATGGAGGGTAATCTCAGAAAGGAAAGCTTTGGCTACTGGGATGACTGAGAAAAGCCTCCTTCTAAAAGTGGTGTTTAAGCTGAGTCTGGAAGGAAGCCAGGGAAACTAAGGCAGTACAAGTACTCCAGGCATGGGAGACAGTCAGAGATGGGAGAGGGAGTGTGTGTGTGTGTGTGTGTGTGTGTGTGTGTGTGTGTGTGTGTGTGTGAACAGCAAGGAGGCTGGTGTCACTGGATCAGAGTCAAGGGAAAGAAGACCAGGAGCGGAGGGAGGGGCCAGGCTGCGAAGAGCTTTAAGTGCCAAACAGAGGATTCTCCTGGAGGGCAGGAGGAGCCACTGGACTTGATGGAGTAGGGACCTGCACATTAGCAAACTCACTTTGGCAGCTGAATGGAAGATGGATTGGAAGAGAGATCTGTGGCCAGGAAACCAATCGTGCTGGACTCCCGGCTATCATCGTTCCCTATCAGCTCCTTCATTTAGCGTTCAAAGCCCTTCATGATCTGGCCCCCTCCTGCCTTTTCAGCCTCCTTACATTTTTACTAGCTGTCCACCGCACTTAGAACACTGCCTCCTCATCTCCACCTGTTGGCTTCCTTCAAGTCCCACCTTCAATCAGACCTGAATCTACCCTCTGAGATTACTTCCTAACTATCCTATCTATAGGTTGTTTGTATGTAGTTGTTTACATGTTGTTTCCCTCATTACTTTATGAGCTCCTTGAGGATGGAGACCATCTTTTGCCTTTCTTTGTATCTCCAGTAGTTAGTGCCGTGCCTAGCAAATAGGAAGTGCTTAATAAGTGCTGATTGGCTGGCTGAACTAATTAGGTGGTGATCCCAGAGTGAGTAAGTACACAGTATAAGAAGGCCTGTGTTAATCCTTGCTAATAAATGTTGGAGGTTTTTTGACCTTTGATGACAACACGTGCAGCTGACTCTTTCCTGTTGAAAAGCAAATTTCTGAACCAGGCCCAACACTGGATCTTATACACAGGGTATCATTTTCATGCCTACCTCCCCCAGAAAAATCATCCAGAAGTCTACTTAGGGAGATATACTCATCATGAGATGAGTATATCAGGCTTTAGACTGGTTATTCAGTTGCTCGGTTATGGTGACTGAGCACAGAAGGAAGAACAGACACTCACTCTTGCCTGAGGGATGGGAGAGGGCTGGGGAGCCAAGTGGTTTCAGATGTCCCAGGACCTTCAGTTCCTACGGGGTTTTTTATGGCTGGAGGAGGCTTTGGAGGGCATTCAGTTCATCCCCCTCATTTTCAAAGGAGAAAACTGAGGCCCAAAGAAATTAAACAACTTGACCAGAGTTACACAGGGAGTAAGTGTCAGAGCTTTGGGTGCAAATCCAGCTCCTCCGATGCTGAACCCTGTGCTCTTTCCTCTACACTGCACCGGAAGAGCATGCCTCTCCTCACCACACTCCCTTTCACACCTTTCCCTTCTCCCTTCCCTCCAATACAGAAGTAGTGGCCATGCTTTGGGACCTGGGGAAACATTCCAGTCCCCTGCTCCCCAAACCGTAGGCCTGACCAGACCCCATGTTAGGTTAACATTACAGAAGAGCCAATGAGCTGAGGTTTTCCTCCAAGGCATTCTAGGTATCTTTCTTGCAGTAATTTAACTATTAATCATAAAACATTTGTTGAACACCTACTATACCTAAGGCCCTATGGTGGGAGAGAGTAATAGTTCCCATTCTTATTGCATTTTATGTTTACAGAAAGATTTCTTCACAACAATCTTAGGAAGTTAGTCATGTAAATGATATTATCTCCTTTTTTACAGACAGAGGCTCAGGGAATGTAAGTTACTTGTTCAAGGTTGCCTAAGTGTCCAATCTGGGATGTGAACACAGAGTTTCTGATTTTAAGAGCAGTGCTCTTTCTGCTACCTTAGATGCAAAGTCAAGAGACATTCTCTCTTATCCATAAGGAGTTTGCAATCTTAATTCTTAATTCAGTTTGGCAGTTATTTAGTAAATATCTATGTTCATCCTCTCCACTCACAAAATCACATTTCCTCTTATCTGGACCACTACAATAGCCTAATTGGTTTTCCTGTCTCAAGACCCTCCTCCAGCTGGCAAAATGCCTTTTCTAAAGTGCAAGTCTACCCAAACTATTCCCTCCTGCCACCTCTCCTCCCCCCCATACACACACACACACACACACACACACACACACACACACACACACACACACACACACACACACACGCATTGTTTCCGCTGTTAGAATGTAAACTCCTTGAGGTCAGGAATTGTCTCATTTTTTTCTTTTTTGTCTCCAGGGCTTGGCACAGTACCTGGCACATAGATGAACGTTTAATAAATGTTTGTTGATTGATTGGTTATGAAGCATTGTTGTCAGCAGTGCCTGGGGAAGATACATGGCTCCTCAGAGAGCTTACAGTCTATTTGGACACTTAAGACATGCACACAAAATAACCATAATACAAAATAGAACAAGTGCATAGGAGAAATAGAAAGTGTTACGCGAGGCCAAAGAAGGGAAGTCACAGAAGGCTTCCTGGAAAAGACGGCATTGACATTAGTCTTATTTTGAAGGTTAGTTTTAGGAGTCATACATATAAAAACACAGCCAGCAGTACGTAGTCATATGTGATAGACTAGACGAGGTACAAACAGTAAATGCCCTCCGAGTTGAAAGCAGGGTGGCATCCCCATGAGCTGAAGAAGTTGGCGAGGGCTTTCTGGAGGAAGTGGAACTTGAGCTGGGCTTGGAGGACTCAGCAAAATTCAGATCAGCATAGAACAAAAAGAAGGCCCAAAGTTGTTCACGGGCCAGGAGTCTGTGCTGCTGCCTGATACAGGAGAAAGTGAAGTATTCAACAAGCCCCAGCTGAATGCCTCTATTAAGTCCAGCTCGCACTGCTTTTGTGTAGAAAAAACTTAGCTGCTTAACTGAAACTCAATTCAATATGTCCTTTTGGTATTTCCCCCCAACAGCTTTCTCAAGAGTTTGGGCCTAGAGCTGATGGCAGACAATGTCAACAACTAACAACATAGCCCAGGCTCGGAAGCTGGTGGAACAACTCCGCATCGAGGCTGGAGTGGAGAGGATCAAGGTGAGCAGGGAGGGGCCTTAGACCTAAACTCTTGGGTTAGAAGGAAACAGGCCGGGACCCTGACGAGCGGAACATCAGCTCCGAGGAGCGCCCGCCTTAGACTGGGAGAAAGCTTGAGAACGGAACATGTTAGATCTGGAAGGGATGTTAGGACACAGAACACAGACTGTGGGAGCTGGCTGAGACTTCGGAACAGAGAACACAGGAGGTCCGAGCTGGAGGGATCTTAGACACCATCGAGTCACACCTCAGTGAGGATCTGGTCCAACCCCCTCATTTTACAGATGAGCAAGTGGGGTCCCAGGGAGGACTTACCCAGGGTCACAGCATCAGAGGTCATAGCTCATAAGGCATAGTCAGGATTAGAACCCAGGTCCTCTGACTGTAGTTTATAAAGGAGGATGCTGAAAATTCCCAGTTTTGGGTCTTAGGATCAGATATTTAGAACCTGGATGGACTTTCAGTCTGTGTATTTTCCAGATGAGAGAACTAGAGAAATGTGAGAGACAACCTCTCATAGTGGCCAGGGTGCTCGCTGTAGGGTCAGAAAGACTTGAGTTCAGGTTCTCTCTCAGAGACTCGCCAGCTGTGTTCATTCCCAGCTGTCAGTGATGAGGTGAGTCATCCGCTCCCTGAGCCGTAAGTCTCTCTTCTATAAGATGTAGGCAATGATAGCACTTGCCTCACAAGGCTGTTGTGAGGATTAAGTGAGATGATATGTGTAAAGTGCTTTATACGTCACCTTGAGTCAGCGTGTGGATGTCACTTACTATTATTGTTGACAATAATAATCATGTTACTCTCCCAGGATCACAAAACTAACAAGTAGCAGAACCAGAATTTGAACCCAGGCCTCCGAATCCAGTGCTCTTTTGACTCTGCTGTACTGCCTTTCCACTTACCTGAGGACACGGGCATGCCTGGTCACCTGACCAGTGGCCAGCTTCCTGAGTGACTTAGATGAAAATCCTCTTAGTCCCCCTACCACTGCAAAGCTTTTATCAAATGGCAGTACCAGAGACTGCTTCACCCTCAGCCTGCTGAGGGATAAAATCAGCCCTCTTTTCTCCCACTAGAGTAAAGTGTTTGTGCTGGAGGCATAAAATGGTATCTCCTTCACTTTCCCTTCAGTGTTCTCTCACACACCTTTAAGCTACTTAGTTCTTTGTTTTGTTTGTTTTTCTGAAAAGGACCCAGGATTTACAATCAGAGAACTCAGTTGGAGACATGCCCTTCACTGAGCCTCAGTTTCCTTACTAGATAATTATTCCTGCTTTATAATTCATCTACAAAGTAGGCATGAGTATCTGTGCCCTTTGGATTTTTCCAGAGCTGTCATGAGAAGCAAATGAGAGAATCCAGTTCACCAAATATGTGTGAAATATCTGCTGTGTGCAAGGGACTGTGTCCCCAAGATAATGAGACAATAAAACAATGTCTACTGAAGCATTTAAACTCTTTAAAGGCCACATATGATATTGTTATTCAGAACTTGCTGTGTGTTTCAACCCTGTGCTAGGTTATATAGAGGGATATGAGAAGAGGAACACACAAGGCCCCTGCTCTCTAGTGGCTCCCATTCTAGTTGGGGAGACAAAACTTACACACACATGAAATGATTAAAGATGAGTCTCAGACAGTGCATCATTAAGGGCTAAACTGTGTGTGCCATAGGAGTTCAGAGAAGGGAGAGAGCAGCATTAAGTATTTGGCCCTGGATATTATATCCAAGTCTCAAAGGATTCTTTCCCCACCACCTACCTGCCCATGCCTGGTGGATGAGTGTCTAGCCTTTGCTGCTCTTCATCCACTCTGCCTGGCCCTCAGCCAAGACCCAGTTTGCCTCCAGCTTCCACTTCTCTGACATGTCTTCTGGTTCTAAATCTTATTACCCTATTGGAAAGGCTCTTCAGGATCATCTAATCCAAGAGTTCTTAGCCTGGGGCCTATGAACTTGGTTTTTTGAAAATATTTTGATAATTTCAATTATCAATTGAATTGATTTTCTTTGTAACCCCATATATTTTATCACATGCATTTAAAAACATGATTTTCTGAGGCACCCATAGGCTTCACCAGACTCATTGCCAAAGGGGTCCAGAACACACAGAAAGGCCAAGAAACCCTGACCTAGCTCAGCCTTCTCCCCATTTTATAGATGAGTTATCTGAGGACTAGAGAGGTTAAGTAACTTGTCCAAAATGATGCCAGGTTGTAAGTCGAAGAGCCAAAACTGGATTTGGGTCTTCTGTTGCCAAACCCAATGTCCTTTCCAATACTTCTACCCTGTCTGCTGAGAAAGCACCCTCTGAGCCTGAATGCATTGCCTTAAACCCCCAAACCTTCTTGTCCTTGCATTTTTGTTTTATGGTTTTAGTCATTCATTTGCCAGGCCCTCGTTATATACCTATATTATTTGCTAGGCAGTAAGGGAGAGAAAAAGTTTAGGTAAGACCTGGTGCTTGCTTTCATGGAGATCATTGTCCAGTGAGAGAAGACACAAACATAGGAAACTATAGCACAGAACAATTTATGGTAAGTGCATCGGAAAGAGGCCCAACTGCCGTGATATCCGAAGTGGAAAATAGTTACTGTAGCCTTCAGGGAGGGATAGAAGCATCGAGGGAAGTGTCCAGAATGAGGTGGTATTTGCAATGGGCTGCAATTAAAAAGATGTATGAGACTTCAAGGGATAAAGATGGAGGAGAAGAGAGAACATTCCAGACATAGAGAACAAGCTGAACAAAGGTACAAAAGATGCATGCTGCCTTCCGGAGATGGAGCACATCGATATTGGTTGGACCAAGTGGCCTCGGAGCTCTCTCTCTCTCTCACTTCTGGAATTCTGTGATGTGGATGGTTGCCATAGCTGATGAGCTCCATCCCTGACCAAGGCAGGTAGAAGGGCTGCGGGAGCCCTGAAGTGAGGGGTTTTTAAGGAAAAAAATCACTCCTCATCAAGCATCTGAATTTTCTAAATGTGGATCTCCATGAACAACCTAACCACAACCCTGTGATCGGCCAGGCCTTGGGGCCAGCCTAAGAATGAAATGCTTTCTGGCACTGTGAGTGGCAGAAGAGAGAGAGTGGGAGAGAAAGGGGCAAGTTTTTTGTTGTGTTTTTTTTTCTTTTTGCTCTTTTCAAATCCAGCCTGAGGTTTTGGGCCCCTAAAAACAGCAACCAGACTCCAGACTCTGGGGCATTGCACCCATCTGAGAGGCTGGCTCAGCAAAGGCCTAACAAATTACAGGTCTCCCCACAGCAGACAGTCCTGAGCCTTGAAGTACAGCTAAGCAGCTATTAACTTCCAGATCACAAACTCAGCCAGGACGGGAGTAGAGGTGTGTCCCTGGTTTTTATGGAAGGAGTTTTCCTGTAAATGCTGGGGGTGTGGGGAGGTACTGAAATGCTGTAGCCACAACACGAGTCTATTTCCAGTGCCTTTAGACTATTTTTATAGTCTGGGATGGTCGACTTTTAAAATAGACCCACAAAAACCAAATTGGGTGATGGAAATCAAAGGAGATAATCCAGTGAAGAGTTGGATTAGGAACAGAGGCACAGCAGTTTTCCCTGTCTCTGGGGAGGGCCTCCAGTCTGCCCATCTCACCCTAACCCACTGGACTGACTAATCAGAGGACCCAGATTCTAGTCCCAGCTGTGCTACCAACAGGCTGTGTGGAACCCTGGGTCAATCATGTCACCTCCCTGAGTCTTAGTTTTCCTCATCTATAAACTAAGGCACTTGGATGAGATGCCTCAGAGGTCCCTTCTAGTTCTAAACTATATTTCTAGTCCAGGCTAAATACATACTCTGCAGTACAATATGTAGATATTTTGAGTCCATCCTACTGCCCCTCCTTCTATTGAATATTGTATCTGATAAAAGCCCCTTTCCAGAAGTAGAGAATCTAGGGAAATGAAATTCCATTCATAACAGCACCTTCAATTTGTGGAGAGCCTTCTACTTTGACCTAGGCCCAAAAGCATGAACTTACAAGAGGCCTATTTCAATAGGTGGCCTAGAAGATGATGGAGAGACTCATCATAGCTGTAAGCAGCGATGGCAGGTGCAGAAGGGGCGACTTAAATGACAACATCAAAGACACCCAAGACCAGAAAAAGAGAGAAGCTGGTCATGTAGTGAAAGTGAAGAGTGGTCAACCCAAGTACTGCACTGATGCCCACATGGTATCAGGAGACCTCTCCAGGGCGTCAGGCAAATCCTCTATGGAGGATTTATGGAAGGACAAGGACAAGGACCCTGTGAGATAAGACACGGAGGGGTTCGTGAATTCCCTCATGAAGGAAGATCTGCATTGATTGGCTCACAGATCTGCCCAAGTATAAGGAAAATCTTCCTGACCATTTGGAGCTGCCCCATAGTGGAATGAGCTGTCTTCAAACTCTAGACCCATAGAATGTCAGAGGACCTGAGAACTCATCACCTTCCATTTCCTCACTCTATAGAGGAGGAAAGGAGGGCCCAAAGGCATACAAATGTATTCACGGCAGACTCAGAACTAAGCCTCAGGCCTCCTGCCTTGGGAGGTGACGTCCTCTGTACAGAAGGTGCAGAAAAGGCCACATCACCCTCCGGAAGTGCTGTGGAGGCGATCCCAGCTTCCAGGGTAGGGTGAACCAGACCAGGTGACTGCTAAGGCTTCTCACTCTAGGGTTCTCATGTCTGGGAACTTCTTCCTGTCTCTCCCTCACACCCTTCCCCGCCCCCCACCTCCAACATATACAGTTGGCAGGTTCTGGATTATCTCCTTATTATAGCAGGGAAAACCAAGTATAGAGAGGAGACTGGACTTTATATACAACTAGGACTAAAATCCAGAACTTTCTGGTCACAGGCCTTAGAGTAGAGCTGGAAAAGGCCATTAAGTCCAAGCCCATCATTTCACAACTAAGGAGGCTAATCTCCTAACAGAGAAGTTCAATGACTTGCCCAAGTTCACACAGCTAGTAAGTTTCTGAGTCAGAATTTGAACTCA